AATGAGAAACAAAGTGCTTACCATAAAACCACTATTATAAGAATTGTTAAACAATCTTCTTTAAGAAGAAAAAAGGGGGAAAACACGGGAAAATAGTTAAAAAGAATAAAATGGCAATAAATATATACCTACCAATAATCACTTTAAATGTAAATTGTTTAAATACTCCAATCAATAGACATAGGGTAGCTGAATGGGTAAGAAAACAAGACCCAAATGACAAGTGCTGGCAAGGATGTGGAGAAAAGGGAACCAGTCATACACTGCTGGTGGCAATGCAGACTGTGGAAAAGCCGGTACGTGTGTTGTGTCTCCGATGCGCATCGGGCCGGGCGCACGCACGGGGTGGCGTGTGCTTACATAAGCGCCCACTCCTCCGCATCCCTGCCCAGGGTCCCGAGGCTGCACCGCGGACACGCATCTTCGCCCCTTTCCTCTTCCTCCTCCCCCTCCCAGGGTCCTTGCAGCGAACGAGCAGAAGCTAAGAGCCTTTGCTCCCCTCGCACCTTCTGCCCAAAGGTGAGAGAGATCGTGCTGAGGTCTGGCTCAGTGGATCCTGCTTAGAAACCGTCGTCTTCTCCATCCCCGACGCCTCGGTGGCACTTTAGATTGTGCAAGGGCTTCTTGGCCTCAACAGAACAAGAAAGCCCTCTGATTCCTTAGGACCGAAATTACTTTATGGTTACTTGGCAAAAATAAAATAAAAATATTTCTTAGCTGATTATTTTGTTGTTTCAGTCTTCATCCACTTAACCTTGTCAACCTTACATGCTTTCCGGTACTGGCTGATCTTGCCAGCGAAAAGCTTACGCATTGCAGATCCAGGCTTCCGAGTGAGTCTTGGAATCGTAACCATTTTCCTTCGCCTTGGAACCAAGTAACCTAGGTGTAGTTTATAGGGTACTTGGATCTATTCTTCTGACTTTTTTTTTTTTAAATAAAAATATTTGGGGCGTGGGGGAGAAGGTTGATGCAAGTCTAGGAGATATGGTCGTATTTCAATGTAGCAAGCTTTGAAAAAATGATCATTTTCTCTTCCTTGGTACGAATACGGAGAGAACTATGGTGTTCACCATCCAAAGGGCAGAAGAGGCAAAAGCATCTTTTGTTCCACATTCCTTTCTTCACGTGGAGGATGATAAACTTTGCCTCTTTCATTTCATTTGTGACATTCTGTTGACTATCAAGTTCAGATTTTAGTATCAAATTGCTCACACTTTGACCTTTAAAAGTTACATCAGGCTAAGTTTGAAATGTTCTTGCCAGATTTGGGGCGGAGGTCTGAAAGTCGAATATATCCAAGCAAAAATGTCAAAGTTTTGCTTCTCTTGGGACAAACACTTTTCTTTTAAAAATATTTTTTTATTAATTTTTTTTTTTTTTACAGAGAGGAAGGGAGAGAGAGAGAGAGAGTTAGAAACGTGGATCAGCTGCCTCCTGCACACCTCCCACTGGGGATGTGCCCGCAGCCAAGGTACATGCCCCTGACGGGAATTGAACCTGGGACCTTTCAGTCCACAGGCCGACGCTCTATCCACTGAGGCAAACTGGTTTCGGCAGGACAAACATATTTTTAAAATATGTGCTTGGGTTGGGTATTTGGGGAATAGTTCAAGTGCATTTAGTTTAGTCAGTGATGGCATTTCCCGTTAAAACCCATATTTTCTTTTTTGTCTTTTCACCTACATTTGCTATTCATTATTGAATCTGCAAATGGGCTAGTTAAATTAGTTCTTTGGTGTTATTGAGATACTTAAACAGTGTAAATTTCAGTATCAAATATCTTCATTTGACGCACTAACAAGTCTTTTGTGAAAGATGACTTCAGACCTTTGTAACTTAACTATGTCTAAGCTTTTCTTGGTGCATTTGTAATACTTAAGAATTCTTAGTCTTCAAAGTAAAAATATTTAAACATCAGTTATTCTGCTGTGTTTGTTATTTTTTCCCCGCTTGCAAGTTAGAAAATGTCTCCAGAATATTGCATGAAATGCTGATAAAACGATTTCATTTAAAAACGTTACAAATATATTTTCTATGTAAACATGCAATTCGGGGAGACGTTCTATGGGTTTACTTTGAAAGATAATCATTTCAAGTAATATCTGAATGTTTTACTGCTGCAAGATAGTCTGACATTAGAGACTGCTGCTGTTCATACACGAGCTATCTCTAATAAATATTAATGGGGTAAAGATCCCAGAAATTGCTGGAGAGGATGTTAGGTTTTGTCATCTAAATTGCATTTTGACTATTAGTTTTATGGAGAACCCTAAATTTCACTTTAGTTGTAGCTATAGTTCTCAAAAAAACATCAAGTAAACCAAAATATTAGAAATATCTGTGGCATATCGTAGGCTGCCTTCCTTCTCTCCAGTGAGTCAATTTTGAGGAAATAGAAAATGAAATAGAGAAAATAGAAAGCTTCTATGAATATTTAAAAAACCCCAAATGCAAGCATGTAATGCATTTCAAAGCCAAATTAATAACATTGACTGTTGTGTTCCTGTTTGTACACAGAATTCTCAGTGAGGTTTCTTCTTACTGTTTGAAATGTTATCTCTCTCCCCAAACCCGAGCCCTCCCTTTTCTTCACGGCACTTACTCTGATGCCCTTTGTCACTTAACTTACGCGTTTATCGGCCGCCTCATTAGAACATATGCCCACGGTGGGAGGGAGGGTGGTCTGGTTTGTTTGCTTATGGATGTTATTTTTCCCTGACAGATGAGTGTTAAATACTGAAAAAAGCATTCCAGACATAGAGTATAAAACAACTGAAATTCTGCAACGTGGATATCAGAATTCATCAGTAGATCATTTTTCAAGGACCCTTCTGTTGATTGTAGTGTTGGGGATATTAGATCAAAAAAATCTGTAGCAGCTTTTGAAGGCGGGAGCTCTGTGGCTACCACTTTGAGTCCATTTTTAAAAAACCACACGCTGTAATTCTCAGCCTTTTTAGAAAATGGTTCCTTAATTTGTTACCTTGTTCTTCAGAAGGAGCTTTGAGGAAAAAGTCATTTGAATATAGACTTCAATATTATGCTTAACCTAGCATTTTTATTGCTAAATATCATTTATTCACATAGGAAACCTATAACGCTGAAAAAATAATTAGATATTAATAATAATTCTGAATGTGTTCCAATTTAAGAGCTGTAACTGACTAACTGGAATCTTGTTAACTAGAGTCTACCCTTGGCTACATACTACTTTAAGAAGCAGCATAAAACCAAGCAGTTTCATAGGAACTCCTTTTCAAAGGGAAGTTTTAGGAGTTTATATCATACTTTTCAGTGTCAGTACTATTTGATTTTTGAGCTAAAACAACACTTCAGTTTTAGATAGGAATATGACCAATACGTGAAATATTAATGAAATATGATAACATTTTTTACAGTGAAATTAGAAAATCCTATAATTCCATGACAGTACTTTCAGGACTTGGTTAGGTTTATTAAACCAACTTTTCATGTTTAAAATGAGGAACTTGAGGGATGTTAAAATTTTAGGACACGAAAAAGGATTGGATTATTTTTATTGCTTTTTAAGACAGGAAATGTAATTTTTAGGTGGGTTTTATTGATGATCATTAAAAACAAAGTAGGAGATCTGATTACCCTGGAAGGCACCCAGAGTGTAGCTCCCATGTTCTGGTTAATTGAGGTTTTAGATCATTATGCTTTTATATAGACCTTGCTTTTTCTGTGATCTTCATTTGGTAAGAGCAGAGGTAATTGAAGAAATGTTGTGTCTTTTTATAAATGAAATTCAGGATATTGATTTGTTATAAAATACAGAGCTTCAGGGATATGGATTCAGAAGTGGTAGGAATGATTTTATGCAATGTGGTATTCGTTTTGTTGTTGTTAATCCTCACCCGGGGATATTTTCCATTCGTTTTTTTAGAGAGAGTGAAAGGGAGGGGGAGAGGCGGAGAGAGAAACATTGGTGTGAGAGAGACATCATTGGGTTGCCTCCTGCCGTAACCGGTTTGGCTCAGTGGATAGAGCGTCGGCCTGCGGACTGAAAAGTCCCAGGTTCGATTCCAGTCAAGGGTATGTACCTTGGTTGCGGGCACATCTCCAGTGGGAAGTGTGCAGGAGGCAGCTGATCGATGTTTCTCTCTCATCGATGTTTCTAACTCTCTCTCCCTTCCTCTCTGTAAAAAATCAATAAAATACATTTTTTTTTAAAAAATGGGTTGCCTCCTGCAGGTGCCCCAAGCTGGGCTGGGAATTGAGCCTGCATCCGGGGTATGTGCCCTTGTCCGGAATTGAACC